AGTTTTACATGTTTGAATTTGAGCCTGACTGCAAAGACAGTGCGTACCTTTAACAGTGCAGGTTTCATTGGGAGGCATTGCCAGTATTCTGTCTCCTGTCTGAATATACCCAGCCTCAATCTTCCCAGTTACACAGAAGCCTGAACCCAGGTCTGGAGAGAGACAAAAAACATCCACAAGATTAAAACGAAAAATGAAGGAAGACTTTATCATGGTTTCAGGCGTGCAGCACTGACCTTTGAACACATCTGAAACAGACAGTCTGAAAGGTTTGTCTGTAGACCTCTGGGGGGGTTTGAAGGCATCTTTAGATAATAAAAAAAAAGACAGAAGAAGCAGAACAATGAGTAACAGACAAGGATCTTATGGAAAGTCTTTGATCAGTGGTGACCCGTGTTTTCTAGTAATGGAGCGATCAGCTCTTTGAGTCATGGCACAGGGACATATCGCAAATAGTTTCTGCAAGTCATACGGCACTTGAGAATGTATGACAAAAAGTAATGGATGTCAAAACTCAGAACCAACAGTTCCTGTTGTCATCTCAACAGTAATGTTTTAACCTTCAAACAACTCTCAAATGCTCTTCCACTCACTCTGATAAACTGTGGAGCTTAAAAAGAAAGCAAAGATAACTCTGTTCCTCTTTAGTCTCAGGTGGCATTAACACTTTTCTTTTATCAAACTGTTGATGAGGAGACTCATGCTGAAAAAGTTGTGCTGTAAAGTGGAACTATAAAAGACTAATATCAGTACTGAAAATGACAGAAAATACAAAGACAATTGTCTGATTTAACTTAAGAATACTTTTAATTCTACTTTATGTGCTTTGGTAATGTTCCTTTAAATGTCTGTGCAGGTGACAGATTAAGCAAGCACACAAACTAAATTTGAAATTAAGGTTGTAGGATTGAATTTAACATTCAAGGGGTAAAAAAAAAAAGGTGAGATTAAATCAGTTTGTTCAGCAACAAACCTGCAAGAATGAAAGTCACCTTGAAACTTAATACCAAGTAAGTAATTACCATAGGAAGCCACAAATTAATACGATTACCTTTTTTTAATACAGCAGCTAAACCCTAGGAGTCACATTTACAATTTTAAGAAAATGTATTAATTTTTTTTAAATCAGGGCAGGATGCTCTGCAGACTTATGTTCCAAAAAAAAAGGGTTTAATTTTCTTTAGCTTTATGTTAATTAAATCTGCTTTCTGTCGCCCTGATGGTCCAGTAGAGTAAAGGAACTAACTTATTATGGTCGGCAAAAAAATGACTTGTGTCATTTGCTGTTTGGGGCCTTCTGTTTTTTTCTTATTTTCATGCAGATCACTGTCAGTGTGCTTTACCAATCTGCTCTAGCAAGCTCAACCCAGAGTACCAGGCAGTGAGCTCTGAAACTGAACTCCTGGTGACAAGGTTTTCTCCTGAGAGGCCACTTGTGGGGATGTAGAACACATCGGACTCCTGGAAAAAAAAGATAACATAAGAATAAAACCATTAGGGATAGAGAAGACATTTACATTGACACACAATGATGCAGAAGTGTTGAGTGGCTTTGTCTCAACTCACCTTGAATCCTGCCTGCTTCAGAAAATTACCAAGTTTTGAGGTGATTTCTTGGAAGCGCTCTTGCTGCCAGCTCACCTATATGTACAAGCCCAAAGAGGAACGACACGTAAGAGGAAAGTTTCCCCTTCGGCAAGGCATTGACATGAAGATGTGTCAGCAACAAGCCAGCGATTATAGAGAAGAAAAAAAGCACGTACATGATCCCTTAAGCACGTTTACCAACAGAAACCGCTGAGTTGTAAAATGTTGAAACCTAAAGATAAGCTCCTCTTCTGGTTCAGCTTTCAGAGCAGAACACATAGCATAGTCGGAGCAAGCTTAAACCATAAAAGTTTCCAACACCATGCTTTACAGTCAGTAGGATCTGCTTTCACCGAAAGATGATTGTGGTGAGCACCAAAACATATTATGCGGTTTCCACTCACTAAAAAGCAGATAGGGCCTTCTGAAAAGAAAGATGTGAACCAGACACATCTCCATAAACACATTTGAAGCCAGTGATCAACTTATCCAGGACTGGCTGGTTAGCAGCTCTCTTTGAATATCAGAGGCTGCCCTCTGAAACATGCAGGTTTTAGTTCCTACACTAATCCTGTAGAGAAACCTGCATGTTCTGTAAAGAAACGCTGGACTTCTCAGAGACCAAAGGAGCACAAAGCTTTAATTTGCTGGTCTTTGATTAGGCATCATTCTAAATACATTTTCCGATTTGAACATGTATTTTAAATTCATTTTTCAAACTCCAAAGGATCCACAACCTTTTCAAAAGCTTTTAGAAATGTTGCAGTTCCTTATTCTAAGAAATAAGCTGCAAAATGTAGAGCGTTGGATGACAGGACAACTTTCATTTCATGTGCTCATCAATCACATGTATCATATCTGTAATCCTAACCCTCCCAAAATGTGTCAGTGCACTGAAAAGCGGGCCCGACCTGGTCCATCTTGTTGACAGCTACAGCCAGCTGAGTCACACCCAGTGACCGCACCAGCAAAGCATGCTCTCTGGTCTGACCCCCTGCTTCAAAGCCTGCCTCAAACTCTCCTCTGCTGGCGTCCACCACAAGCACCGCCACATCTGCCTGGAGAGAGAAATTCATTCATGGGACAGATAAGAAACTCAATAGGCATAATGCAAAAATACAAAAACAAACTTTAAAGTCTCTCCAAGTACGTTTCTATGCAAAACTGAAAACTAACTGCACTAACTGAAATACTTTTGAATCTGCCAAGTAAAAATACTTTCATTTTTAATTCAGAAGCATGTGCTTTACTGTGTACATTAAGAAATAGCAATATCCAGCAATGCCTACAGATCATGAAAGTATCGTGACTAAGGGGTATCCTGCAACAGAAACCCCTTAGTCACTGCAAGAGGAGGTTGAACGTGAGGACAGTCATATGGTAAAAAGAGAAATTACAAGAGTAACCCAAAAAGAGACATAGACAAGCACACCCATGCCTGCAAAAACACCTTGTAATGCCAACACCCAAAACCACGAAAAGCCATGTTGACGGGTGTGGCAAGATGTCGTGCACAGAGCATTGGGAGGAGGAGAAGCATTTTCACCCACAGGTGAAGATTCTTTGGTTGAGCTAAAATAGTAACAAATTAAGAACTTTATGATAAAAGTCTGGGATTTCTTTTTATGTGCCTGAATATGTATTCATTGTTGATTAGCATAATATGATATCTAAATTGACACTTTCAGCAGGTCGAATAACAGTTTAGCATCAAGGCCACTGTTGAAAATATACTCAGCTGTTTAGAGATTTGAACTGTACATACAACAGGATTTCCCTCCTTTTACTGCTGTATACAGTTTCTCTCTGGTGAGTTCTTCTTTCTGGTTTGATTTAGAATGTGGAAGTCTTTTGTTTGTTTGTTGTTTTTTTAACAATGTACCTGTGCAGCCCCTGTGATCATGTTGGGAATGAAGTCTTTGTGTCCTGGCGCATCCATCAGAGTCACCACCTTTGAGTTTGTCTCAAACTTAGTCATGCCTACATCCATTGTCACACCTCTGCAGGAAAACACAAACGGTTTCTGGGCTTTTAAATACATTTTTAAAAAGCATTTACACATGCACATGTATTTGTTAAGAAAATGTGACAACAGCCTGGTTTACAGAGTGCTGAGGAGCTTCACAAAGCAGATTTAAACCCCTGGTCCATTTTGTTAAATAGCCGCTCCTCGTCTAGGTGCAGCTCTTGGATGTTACACATCTGCTTCAGAAGTTACTGATAAGTGTATATGTAATCCCACCCAAGTCACTTTCTGTTTCTGCAGTTTTTCGCTTCCGTTCTACTATGTAACAACAACAGACACGGTAATCCAGGGCAGTCTATCAACAACATATTGTTCATGCAAGACGCCATCATTAAAACACAACCCTTCCCTTTTAGCAAGGACGTTTTCCTACTAAAGACATGGTTTTTAGTAAGAACCAAGATTTAGCTTTGCCAATCAGCAATGGGACACCACCAACAAGTAAGAATTTTTATAGCCAATAAGCACAAAGAACGAGAAGTAAACAAGTTGTTGAGCCTTTACACCAGATCTTTCATATCTAAAATATGTATTAGTAGTTCTGCTTTTTATCTATTTATTATTTTTTTACAACATATATACACTTAGAGAAGACGCTTTTTTCCATCTTTCACAGTGTGTGCAGTTTAATAGACAACTCTACCTGTCCCTCTCTTCGCCAGTTTCATCCAAGACCCAGGCATAAGCAAACGAGGCTTTTCCCGCTTTTTTAGACTCCTGCTCATACTTGTGCATGGTGCGTTTGTTGACGTTGCCCAGCAGGTAAAGAAGATGTCCCATCAGAGTGCTTTTACCCGCATCTACATGACCTGCAGAAGAGGAAATAAGTCATATAATAAAGCCAATGACTTTTGAAAGACAGCTAAAGGAGAAGAAAATAGAGGTTCAGTGGATGGGGAGTGTCAGGGGACAAAGAGGTAGGATTAATGAGGGGATGAGGATTGATAAAGAAAAGGGCAACATGTGGTTAGAATGATAAGAGAGGTAGGGCAGGAGAGAGAAGATAAAACTTGGCTAAGGGAAACCACTGTAAGGAACAGGAAATAACTAGAATTACACAAGTGGAAATAGGTAGAAAGAAATGGGAACAAGGTTGAAGGCCTAAGTGGAGGGGGGGGGGACGAGACAGCAGCAACGTTCTGTGGGAAACTAGAATCATCTGCAGTTCTGAAACTACCAAGTCACTTTTTCTAGCATAACTGAGAATGAAAAAATATGACTGAGCAACTGTGTTGGTCTACTGTTCGACTCATTTACTGCCATTACTTTCTCTGACACAGCCACACCAAACAAGGACATTAAAAAAACGCTGCCTCAAACTTTGCTGCAAAATCGTATTAGTCATACATGATGGAAGCCAATTCAAGAATCCTTCATTTAGCCACTTACGAGTTTATAGATTTGTTGGCAATATAAAGATGCTTACATATGCTTAAAGTTATGACGTTTCATGTTCATAGATGGATGTAGTTTTGTGAAATGTGCTGGCATCATACCTATTACTACCAGGTTTAATAGAGGTTTGCCCCCCTGTCTCTTCTCTAGCTCTGCCTGGATGTTGATTGCCTGCCGCGCCTTCCCAGAGGAGCGGACCGGTGTGGGACCAGAGGACGACTCATCCCCATTAGATCCTTTTGATGGAGTCTCGGGACGTTTGGAGGTGGACTCGGGTGTCGGAGCAACGGGAACATTTTCCGGGCTGCTGACTCGGCGTGCAGACGTGGCAATGACGCCATTCTCCCCAGTGCTGATGAGCAAAACACGTGAAAGGCACCAAATCATGAAAAAATCATTCCTAATTAACCTTACAGTTTAGCCTATGGCTATTATACGTCAGCAGTTTCATTATACACATACACACAGAGGAGAGCAGAGGGGATGTAGGTACCTGGGAACATCAAAGCCCATTGTCTGTTTCTTCCCAGAGATGGTCATGCGGGCCACTTTGGGTACCACTTCACCGTCCAGTTTACTGTGAGGTACATCTCTGCTTTTAGCTAAAAGAATAAGCAACAAAAAGCAAAAAGGCACATCCATGACTCACAAAGACCAACACTTCCACCATGAGGACTACACTAATCTATGGTAGAATTTGCCTCCAATTCAGGATAATTGAAAATACCCTATTGGTCAGAAAGATTTTATGTGAAGCATACTTTCAGTGTTAAATGTACAGTTTACAGAAAGTGGAGCCACACTAACTGTACAGTCTAAAGAGACTTTTGAAGTTCACTTTTGAAATATCTAACTAAAACGATCCAGATGATAAGTTAACCGGTCACAGCAGCATGCTGGCCACTAAAACATACTTATTTGGAGGAGTGAAAGTGCGCTGTGCAATCTACTGCACTCTCAACCTCCTATCTATCAGATTAGTAGATCATATTCTGCAAGAGTGAGGCTTCTTGATGACGTTGCTTTGTCATCCCAGTCCCAAATGGCCACCGGTCTAGTCATATCAACCTGATTCTGATTCATTTAGATTAGGCTGCACAGCCAAGCCTTCAGTACGGCGTGTGCATGTGTGTCTGTTTGCAGCTGACATCCTGGCTCAGAAAGGGTTAATTTCAGAAGTGGCCGTTGCCTCCCGTCTCCACGTAAATAGATCAATGTGACGCAGCATTTCACAGAATGAATCTCTTGAAAGGGTGTCACCTCAGCAGACGCGGGCTGGAGTCGAATGCGTGCCCTATCACACATACACTCGCAACTGATTGACGTTCAAATACATTTTAAAAACGGTTCATTTGTTACAGTTTCAACTTTAGTTACTATGGTCCAACATAAGGTCCTAAAGAGAGAGAAAAAAGAATCTTTCAATTGATTTAGCACGTTTTATTCCTCTCACTGACTAATTTAATCATAACCGTTTTAAGATTATAATTTGTCTTTGTAAAAAGAAAATACCCTGAGGGAAAATTAGAGGAAAGAGGTGAGATTCAACAGAATATTAATGGACTTTCTCTAACCAGTCACTCTCTGAATGACTCGTCTTGCATTAGAGAAAAAGTCCCTTTCACTCAGAAACCTTGATATACCAGAAAGACAGCTCACTGCACTCAAATGATTTTTTTCCCTTTTAAAGAAGTGTCTTTTCTGATATACAGCTTGCAGTCGGTGAATACCAAGGGATAAACCTAAGAATGCAACTTACCACTAATTAGCAGATAAAACTTTAATACTTTTGTAGTCAGCACTACAATTTCTTGTCTAAGTTTCATCTCTCCTGCAGCAAGCAGCAACATGAGATGACAAAAGTGCTCTCTGGGGAATTTTAGTACTTCCAGCAGCTCGGGGGTTTTCTTGTCCCCATATGGTGACACATTGAGTTTCACACACCTCTGTCAAAAAGGAACTCCAGCCAACCTGCACTTACAGATTTCACATGGGTCATCAGCTGAGGAAATGAAAATAAATTTCAGCCTAAAACAACATAGCTTCTTATTCAGATTTTTACCTAAAATTGATTTTACTCCCCCAACATCATAAGCATCAAACAACCTCTTTCTTAAGCAGCAAAAGACAAGTTGCTTTGTCAAAACATAGTGATACTTTATGCAAACAGTGGACCTGCAAGCTTTTTTTTTCTTTTTCTTTTGTTTGTAGCTGGCATTATGGCAGCACTAAGTGTGAGACAACCTAAAAGCAACCAGTCAGCACAATCAGGCTTTGAGGCCCCGAACAGGATCTCTTAACACTGTTTGGACTGTCAGGTAAACATTTGGCATGCTCCCATCCAGGATTTCTGTAGAACAGGGGTCCCCGGCAGTGGCTAAAAAGGAGTGAGTCACTTGTACACCTTGGCCTGAGGCCTAACTGAGCACAGGATAAAAGGAGTCCGCCCAGAACATGCAAACATCAAGGATCCCTTCCCCCACCAACACACACATACACATACTAACAAAGTGCACATAAACACAGAGTGCAGGTAAAGGTGAAATGTTCATCTCATTTTTAACAAAATCTAATGCATGCGTCTGCCATTAAAGTGTGTCTGATAAAGGATGGAGGGAGATGTGCCCAGTTAACAAGTCCATGCTAGTTCAGCTGCATCTTACACTGGTGGCACTTTAAAGTCATCATGTTACAATAACACAATGTGTCAAGATGTTTGAGGGATTTTTATGATTCAACTGTTATTCCAAACAGATTGTCATATTGGACTAAAGAGAGAGAATTCTGGAAAAAGAACAGTTAACTTATAAAGCTCCCGGCCACTGGAGGCCGCTAAAGGCTGCAAAAGACGCTAATTGTGCTCATCATTTCAGAAGTGTTGCAATGTGAGGGGAAAAGTGGGGAGAGAAAAAAACATAGTGAAACATTTAAATTGAGTCCAGTAATAGTAATAGTCTCGTAATGTCATGTTAAAATAGTTCAACATCATTTTTAGTCAAATTATAGCCATGAGGCTTCAAATATAGTTTTAGATTTTGAAAATTCAATAAATCCAGTTAATGCAACTATTTGTATTTCATTTGTCCATGAAAAATCCCTAAGTGGCCTCTATTTATACTTTAAAATAATGACTGCATCAAGGAGCAACAGTGGGACTGAACTTCATTCATATTGAAAAATTTAAAACATGAATGAAAACGATTACAAAGGAAACGAGACTGGTGGCTGAGGGAAAAGTTCTGAGCAGAAGCCATATGACCCTTTTCAGGATGAGTCACACATACAGATTAGAGTGTCGCCTACCGCCAATGAACACTTCACAAGACACCTCAACATCCCCTACACCCACCGACTAAGCAGACACTGGCCTTTGAGTCATAGTTCAGGACAAGACTCCTACTGTGTCTTTAGACTGCGAAACATCACAAGAATGAAGTTGACATGTCTGACCTGCAGGATAACAAACACAACACGACAAGACAAATGTTTATGGGAAGAATACACTGAAAAACTCTAACTGTGTCAGTGAAATTTCATAAAAGCCTACATTGAAATGCACTTGACATCATACGATTCCAGTGGTGGGCCAACTGCACATCAGCAGAGAAAAAGCCAAAGATTCTGCTTCTTATTGCTCAGGGGGGGCAACAACTCCTTTATTTGTCACCTCTCAAAACTTTCCACTGGCCTTGATGCTTTTTTTTACCAGATTTCCAAAGCCCCCGGTATGCTCTCCGGACCAGAGCTGGTGGGATATTAGAAAACCTGTTCTATACCGAAGGCTTCATGGTTCTATAAGTTTCTCTTAATATCGGCCTCATGAATTTTGCCTCAAATATCACAATCTGTGTGGTAGCATTATGACTTTAAGTTGGACTGAAGTATTCAATCATCATGGCATTTACCAAAAAGTCATGAATGATTTGAGCCCAAATGGCTCAACATGTAGTCAAATAAACTTATAAGCTTACTCTACAAGTGTCTAAGATAACTTCAACCAATGCACAACCCTCTTGAATTTCTAACAAAGTTAACGCAGTCCTTCTTTCTAAAGTCAAGACCCATGACTGCATCTTTGCCTTTTTTCCTTCTACATAAAATACCACAATAAAGCAAAAGCACTGATAGACTGCAAGTCTAAGTGCACCTGCTTCCTTTTGACCGGGGTGAGATGGTATTTTTCCAGCACTGGCACCACTTCACAACAAACCAATGTTTGTGAAACATGTATGCCTTGCAGAAATGCAGAGCCTGTGAAGACACAAAATGATCTGATCTGTCACAGCCTTTGTCAGAGCTGTGAAAGTCGAGAGACATGATCAGATTTTCCACGTAGGTGGTGTAAGAGAGGCACACACAAAGTAAGATGATCGGCTGCTGCACCCAATCGACGTGTGCTTGGGGTGACATTTTCTCCAAGAGAGCAACTTCCTTTTCAAACCCACACACCGACTCGCCTTCAGAGAGGAAGGACAGCATTACAGCTGGACACACCCACTTGTTTCTAGATTTCCAGTGAGAGCCGTCTTAAAAACCCTGGAGCCTCGCTTTACTCATTAAACAGACTTTAACATCCCTAAGAGGCTTCACTATTTCCAAACATAGTGCTCCAAGGAATACTTCTGTCCCATACCAAACCTGTTTGGCATGTTGTTGTTGACACTGTGCGCCTTTCGGTATCTATCACTTTCCCACAGGTTAATTAGCGTATGCTTGACACCCTTGAGGTCCAGTTCACTCAGATATCTGCTCCTGAGTAAAGTTTACACAAAACCTAGTTGTACCATCTTCAGTCTGATAAATAGGCCAACAATGTCAGCTTTTCCATTTCTGTATCACAACACCAAAAAGTACCACTTTCTTTAAGACATTGTTAAAAGAGCTGTCAGTTTTCTGAATAAAAGGTGCATTTACAAAACTTTGTGTTAGTATATTGTCTTTTCTAAAGAGCTATGTGACACTTTGTGTTCTGTTTCAAGTTTTAATCATTCATTTCTATGATGTCAACACTGACCATTCAAAGCGCACAGCAATCACTGGTGGTAGAAATGCCAGATATCATCAGAATTAGGGGTTTCACCATTTCAAACTAAAACACGCATACAGTGCAGTGTGAAATAACTGAAAAGTTATTCAAATAGTTCATCTACAGTATTGGCTCATAACTGCACATACATAAACAATTCAGTCAGGTGTGCAACAATAATAATTTGTGCATCATTTTAACTTGTTACAAAGAATAGGCTTTTTTAAAAAGTATAAAATATGCAAACAATGTCTCACTGACACAATTTGAAAAACACACCCAGACATGAAAGCATTGAGAATACATCAGTTCAATAATCTTTATTTCAAAACGGAGAAATTTGTCCATCATAATGTGTGAGAAGATGCCAAATGTAAGTCAGTTGTTGGTTCAGCCTCTCGCATCATATTAGTCTTTTTTTATATCAAATACTTCCAAGCATTCACATTTTTTGGTGAGTTTGTACTTGTATGCGCATTTGTCTCTCTGTGGGTGTGTGTGTTCTTGTTCTCTCATGGGAAAATCTCCAGGTGTCCTCTAAACCAAAAAGTCAACCTCGTGATCTCAAACACAAGCAGCAGTAAACCAGTACAATGGTTAACTGATCCATATTCCAATAGCTGCAGCACACCTGCAAACAAAGTCAACCTCTTTTTTTCCTCCTTTCAGAGCTAAAGGAGCTCAAACGACAAACAAAAAAGAGAAGAACTTGAATTTTCCCCACTTCGCAGTCATAAAAAAATTAAAAAGCCTTCAGGCATTAAAGTGTACAAAAATAAGAATTTTAAAATGCAGAGGGGAAAACTAGCTAACAACAAAAATCTAAAAGTTTTTCAAATATAAATGCTCTGATTATTCAAGCTGCCAGAGTAATTGTTTTGATCCGGCCTGAATTCATTGTTCTGTTTCAAAAGTAACATAAAACTTGTTTTTTGCCTTGCTAAACAGATTACAAATCATATACAGTATTTCCAAACAGCCATCAGAAGAATGTCAGTCCATTGTGGAGTTGGTCCAATGAGTTTCTTTACTCCATTTGCACTGACCGTAGCACAGTTTTAAAGGCTTTGGGCTGGAATCAAGGCCTTTTAAGGTTTTCACCCTAACCAAGTTGATTTAGCACCAGCCTGCATGTGCTGTCCGTTGGTCTAACGTGTAAAAGCTTTCCTCTGATTCGCACGAACAACATCATCAGGAGAAGGTGTATCAAAGCGGAAAGGTACAATTGGAAAAAGCTGGGTAAGCTGCTCTTTGGATTTGTCTTGTGGTATGCAACGAAAAGCCCGGTAACCACTTCCTGTCCTCTGGCCTTTCATTTTTCCCCTCAATACATTTTTCCTCCTCTTCTGTTGTTTGTGGTTCCGAAATGACAAAGTAACTGCGAACACTGACGGATTTGCAAAAACAGAAAAATCCTGCCCAAAGTCCGGAGAAGCTGGAGACGACGGTGAAGGGAAGTCAGAGTCGAGCTGATGCGGGTTTGCCATGAGTGCACTAAAATCAATGGTCTGACCCGGTTTAGACGGCCTGGAGATTTGGAGGAATGGTTTGTGGTTGAGCTCGCGCTTAGTCGTTCCCTCTGTAGTATTTTCTGCCAACACATCAGCCCTCTCTGGTTTTGCTGGTGAAAGGAGCGAGGTGATGGTGCACTGTGACCCATTTGAGGTGGTTGAGGTTTTTTTTTTGTGTTCAGATGGCAAATGTGACAAAGAGAGCAGCTCGGAGAGGCCAGGTGGTTGTTTCAGTGCATTTTCTTCTGATCCAGTGCAGGCTGGGTGATGGGTGGCTGAGGAACTGGAGGATTGATGCGCTACGGCTAGCTGTGACAGTGAGACTGCTCCACCCAGGCAATGAGCTGACAGGTCAGCCACGTTGGCAAATGACAGCAGGCTGGATGGTCTTTCAGTGCTTTGTGGTTGCGAGTGAATACTCGAGTTCTGATGTTGTGAAGCAAGCTCAGACAGTGAGAGTGTTTGTGCAGGCACACTCTGAATCTTTTCTTGGGCTAAATTACTCATGGGAGAAAGCACGGTTTTACCGGCAGTTGCGCCGCGGCTTGAATGCTCCTGGATTAAATCAGCTAATGACGGACTTCTCTTAGGATCAACCACTGACTGCTGATTGTTGTGTAGAACAGAGCTAAGACTCCCAAACCCAGGAGGAGCTACCAGAGAAGACCTTCCTGTTGACTCTTTAGAGCTGTTCAGCGACAGATTACTGAGTGAAAAAGAAAGGGGAGAGGGAGCTGGTGTTTGCGTTGCTGAGGGCTTATTTAAAGATGCCAGTGTTCCAAGTGACAGACTACTTTGATTGGACGTTGCTGACAAGGGTGAACTGGATCCAGTTGTTACAGTGCTTAACGAGGAAACACCCAAACATTCCCCGACACCACTTACTCCCGTTTTACTCTTTTGCTGGTGCTCAGACATAAGCTGAGCCAGACTGCTTCCATTGCTAAAGCCTAAACGAGCACTGTCTTGGAACAAATTTGGCTTTGCGCAGCTGCTAAGCACCGGTTCGGCATTATGTTGGGATAAGAGGTCCCGTAGGTTTAGCGCACTTGGTGCTTGTACACATGGCTGAGTACATTGATGTGCCGTGTATGTATCGTCTGTGTGAGAAGCAGACAAGCAGGCTCCTTACCTTACGAAAGCCAAGTGGAGTTGTCGGGAGGAGGGGCAAGAAGATCGCAAAGCAGAAGTCACATGAATCATACCATAGATAAGAAGGAAGAAAACAGGTAGAAGGCACTTTGTTAAAACATGACGGTAATGTGTCATCACTTGGGTCAATGTTAAAAGCCTTTTGATTTGAAAATAAGTTTTCTTCTGAAAAAAGCAATGAATAACTTATAGGACTACAGTAGATGAAGAAAAGCACAATCTGTGCCTAGTGACAAATAACTGATATCAATGATGCTGAAATGCAATTATTCAAATAGTCGCTCAAATCCAATGATCCAATTAATTCGGATATAGTGCAAAACTTACATTATTTTGCTTTTGGAAAATTTGCTTTTGAAAATCCATAAAATGTTTTGCCAGTCTTTTCCAACAGGGGAGTAGTCATACATTGACACTTAAAAAAAACTACCTAAATGATAATATTTTAATGCACTTTAGGTGTACCTTTTTCACTCACGACCTCCTGCTTGGTTCTCTGCGGGAGCGGGGCCTTCTCCTGACTAACTTTAGGTACTGAAGCAATCACTTCAACTGCAATTTTGGCAGCTGGGGCTGTTTTAGTGTCTCCAGAAAGTACTGCATCCAGTGCCTTCTGTGGGTCAAACCCATGTGTTATGGCTGCCTGGGTCAGGACAGAGTCTGGCACAGCATCTCCCAGCACAGTCCGCATATGATCAAGGCAGGAATACAGCTTGGCTAAAGAGCATGACACAGTAAAACATAGAAACAGAAAAAATAATCAATACAGAGCAACACATTAAAGATTACAAGTGTATTTAAAAAACACATTCTTAAAATCAAAGTCAAAATACTAGTTAATAGGGTGTTGCTGTATTACATTAATAATACTACCTTGATCAAGTGGGTCAAGATTGTGATTAGTAATAGGGGACATAGGAACATCCTCATCTTCAAATTCTTCCTCCTCTAAAGGTACCTCCCTTGGTGTTTGCCTCTCTTGACGCGAGTAGATGAACTGATTTGCTTAAAATAGAAAAAGAAACATCACAACTTGATTGTTCCATTGGTTTCATGGCAACTAATTTCTAATATTTGAAATGTTACACCACAATTAAAAAGAAAACATTAAGAACAAAGTGAACAAATATCTTGGTGCATTGAAAACCTTTCTCTGAAATGGAAAAGCCAAACAAATGTGGGAGAACTGCATCTAAACTCCAAAAGACCAATCTGATTAAGCAGGATGGGTCAAAATTAGCCAAATCGTGCCGGGCCCCACCCTGGATTTAAAAATATATGCTGCAAGGCCACAACACATCCTGAGCTCTTATGTTCATGAGCCACATGGTCCACAGGAGTTTCAATGTAATGGCTGATCAGTGTATCACACAATACAACTTGTAGTGGTCAACTGATCAAGACTGTCTTAATCTCTCTAATAAATTCCAATACTTATGGCAGGTTTCACATTAATTCCTTGCCATTAACTAAAGTTTAACAAATAATCTCAAATGATGCCCTCTATTAAAACATAGACTGTGCACTATTTCCCACTACACCTTTCAGTTATAAAGCTGAGGATTTTGTAAAACCAACCTGTTGCTGGTGATATACAGTAGTCGTCGTCCACAGACTGTCCATACATGTCATCATCTTCAAAGTCTAGATAAAAGGGGGAAAAAGGTTCAAATGTGCTTTGTATTATGCTTTGTGACAGCTGTCACTTAGCCTCGTCAGCCATTTCAATCTGCACAGCACATTAGAAACTGGGAGTCAGGTTATTTATCAGGACGGCGGTCGGTAACTGTATGTTTACATTTTGTATTAGTACATTTTTAACAAACATTAACTCCGAGTTCATGCCATTTACGACAAAGCAGCTGTTACATAGCAGTGCTAATAACGTTAACTACACTGTAAGCGGTTAATGTATCTTGTCGTTGATTGGTATTTAAATAGAAACAAGTCAAAGTGTCTGTATACATATATAAACATGTGAATTACAGAGTAACGCATTTTGTGGTTGGTGCCAAGTAACACGACAGCAACGTTAGCTGGCATGCTAAACTAGCTAGCGTTAGCTACTAGCACTACAGTCAACTAATGTGAATTTAGGCTCAACGGCTACTGAGTTTAGCACTAAGGCCTTACTGCTACATTTAAACTGGTGCCAAGTAACAGATAAAGATATCTACCTTCATCGTAGTTGTAACCTCGAACATTTCTGTGTCGAGACATTTTTGCTTATGTATCCACTCTGTCGGCCCCGGCGTAAATTTTATTCTTCTCACATACTTGTGTACCAACAACCGGCTACCATCGCGGCTGCTGCTGGTCGGGCTACAAACAGGAGGGAGGAGGGTTGGGTTTGAACTCACAGAGCCCCAAATAGCTAAATAAAAACAGATGCAAAACAGCATTTAATGACAATTTGTTTAGGTCTTTTTTAGCATGTAAGAATACATTTATTATAACAGAAGAGAAAAAAAATTAAAACTTTGACTGTTTATATTGTTTTTATTTTTAAGATGACGTAATTTCCTGTCATAACTATGCCCACAGTAATCTGGAGTTCTCCAACTAGCCTGCGTAGCCATGTGCTTCTGGAGAGTGACACGCTGAGTGTATGCCTGCAGACCTGAATCATCGACCAACCAAAAAGTACACGTTGCGTAGAGTGAAACTAGAGAAATGAATTGTCCAGAGAGTAGCAGGATATGATGCAAACCTTATCAGGAACACTCAGAATAAAGATCATAGTGAGTGTTGCCGTTCTAAAGGAAGCTTCTGGCAAAAGATGTTACATGACAAAAATATGAACAGAAGCAAACCTGCAGCCACTCACGTGAAAAAAGATAATAAATATTTAGGCATCTCTCAGCCAGGCAACCAGCTTTATGGTTCCATGCACTTGATGAAGTTCACTCACCAAATAAGTAGTAGTTCAACATTTTTTTTTTTACATGTCCAACCATGAGGAGACATATCTAGGTTTGCACAAATGGACAATATGATTTAGAAAAATGCCCATATGTAATGAAAGGTCTTGATAGATATCACCATAACTTGGGGAACAATAGAAAAAAATTAGAGCGAAACTAGTGTGATGGCCATTGGACGGTCTAACTACAGTATCTTGTTTCTGGTCAACCTCTTATGACTCAAGATCAGAAGTACTATTTAGAAAATCTAGAAGCATAACATTATAGCTGATGATTTTGAGTAGCGCTCAATCTTAATAAATAAATATCCTAACCATTGCACAAAAACAACATGAGAGTTTTCTCTTGTATGCAACACATTTCCATATTTAATCATTCCCTTCTATGATTTTTGGGTGTGAAAGTCTCACCCATTTAGTCAAAGGTTGTGCTCTTTAGAGACCACACTACACCAAACACACACCCCAAAGTGACATAATATTTTCCAACTATCATTGCACCAGAAGAAACTTATAGCCTGTCAACCACAATGGGGGGAAAAAGAGAGCGATTACAAGCACTTGCTTGCATTTGTTTCTCTATGACTTGGTCTGCATCATGCTCTCTAAAGTCACAGATACCTGTGAAGATGCATATGCGTATTTTGATACGTGGCATTGTCTTCTTTTAAAGAAGCTTGCAGATGGTGATGAATGAAAAGGATGATGAAAATGTCAGACAATAATCTGATACTGCCAGTGAAGCAGGTGAGATGCACATCTGCACTGTGAAATGAAATATGAGGTTTGGTGTGTCTCCCTAAGCTAAAAATAGAGCACAGTGAAGAAAAGAAGAATTCTGCTTAGGTCATTTTTAAGACCTTCTCATAGAAGACGGCTCATATTGCAAATGGCAGTTTTTACTAAAAAAACATCAGTTGATGGTAAAATTCAGAAGGGGGGATATCCATCTAAGGAGACGGTGCAGATTTCTGTGTTTATTATTTTATGCACAGTTTATGTTTGGTTTGGTGTTTGTGTGTGTGTGTGTGTGTGTGTGTGTGTGTGTGTGTGTGTGTGTGT